GGGGGCAGAGCGCGGTTCTATAATCATCATCATCATTATCATAGATCTATGTCATTTAGTTTTAAGTGCACGGCTTTCAATAACACTGTATTTGTATCCGCTACCAGTAAAAAATATATGAACAATGTGGACTTTGTTACGTTTGTCCCAAATGGGACTTTTAACGTACACTGATGATATTTAATATTAGCGCATCAGTCTCCATGTTTGAATCACTTGCTGCATGAAACTGCAGGCGTAAGTACAAGCACTGCTTTGGTACAACCGCAACGTCAAAACAAGGCCATAGACACTCAGACAGCTTTGGACGGCCTTGTAAAGAATGTAGTTTGGATTCAGCGAGAAACGTCAGTGCCGCTCCTTACTGGTGCGACCTCAGTGACAGCTTTTTGTTTTATCTATTATTTTTTTTACGGCTGTGCACATGATACAATGTATAAGACATTTGACGTGCCATGCATTATTATAATATATAGGCATATGATCAAGATCTATGCAGTAAAATTGACCGATTGAGTATTGTATATAATATTGTCGCTCTATCTATCTATCCATCCATCCATCCACCCATAGATCTATATCCATCCAACCAACTATCTATCAATCTATCCATCTATCTATACTTCCATATCTATCCATCTATCTGTCGAGAGCTGTAATTCATCGCTCATGCGCCAGTGGGGCTGCCAATACAGAAAAGGCGTTGCCTCTGACGATCGCCAGAGAGATTCTAACAACCACCTCCTCTCCCGCGGGTCACCTGTGGCGTTTGTTAACCGATGACCAACTTTCTGGAAGAGCCGGGTCGTCAGGGGACCGAGAGAACCGAATGTTTCGACTGCCACTGGGACGAAGTGGTAGTGGTTGCTGAGGCCTGCAAACTGTCTAATTTTGGACTCCTCTGCCTTCTTGGCGATACTGCCGGGAGCTGAGGCAGAGGAGGTGATGGACAGCGGTGAGAACAAGTCGGAGCATGTGGCGTCCCACACGAGGCATTTGCCACCCCCGAAAGGAAAGATGGTGATGCCATCCGGCCCTTTGCCGTCGCCCCGGTCAAGGCCGGACGGTTCAAGGATGCAATGTAGGCCGGATGCATCGAGCGCACGCTTCA